GATCCCAGGGTCCTGGGATCGAGCCCCGCATCGGGCCCCCTGCTCAACGGGAAGCCTGCTTCTCCCTCTCCCACTCCCCCTGCTTGTGTTCCCTCTCTCGCTGTGTCTCTCTCTGTCAAATAAATAAATAAAATCTTTAAAAAAAAAATAATGTGGGTTCCTATAAATTCCTTTATTTTCCCTCCTTCACCTGCCTCAAAACAGACATCATCAGATTGCCTTACCCTGTATCTTTCTTGACCAGCTGCCTTTACAAAAATATAACAATGCCCACAGGAGCCAAAACACCTTCCCCCTATATGCCTCTCCACCAGTCACACACACTGTAACCTCCCCATTTGCCTAATCCAAACTCCAAGATTTGGGGTGCCTAGATGGCTCAGTCAGTTAAGCGTCAACTCTTGATTTCAGCTCAGGTCATGATCTCAGTTGTGAGATCGAGCCCCACGTCTGGCTCTGTACTCAGTGCAGTCTACTTGGGATTCTCTCCCCCTCTGTCCCTCTGCCTCCTCCCCCACTCACTCTCACACTTGCTCACTTTCAAATAAATAAATAAATAAATAACCTCAAACGCCAAGATAATTCCTCTTCCTATCTCCCATACGTTCTTGCTGTTAGTAGGATCATATCAGTGGGATGTCAATCCACAGAACCTACCTTTCCCTAAGAACTTCCCCCAGCCACCTTGTGCACACATGGCTCTGCTTCATGGCCACAGTTCATTGTGCTCAGGAGTGAACACCTGACCCAAGCTGGGCCAAAACTATGGAACTGGGCCAGAAGCAGGTGAGTCTCAGTCTAGACTGCTCATCTGAAGGGAGATGTAAGTTGCAGTTCCTGATCTTTAGGAAGTAAATAATCAGATAGATAAGAATAGCATACAACTCCCAAAAGAATGAGACAGATTAGGGGCGCCTAGGTGGCTCAGTCATTAAGCATCTGCCTTCGGCTCAGGTCATATGATCTCAGGGTCCTGAGATCAAGCCCTGCATTGGGCCCCCTGCTCAGCAGGAAGCCTGCTTCTCCCTCTCCCACTCCCCCTGCTTGTGTTCCCTCTCTTGCTGTGTCTCTCTCTGTCAAAAAATAAATAAAATCTTAAAAAAAAAAAAAAGAATGAGACAGATTAGCTACTTGGCCCCTGCTAACATTCTTTTAGTTGATACCAGTCCCTTATGAATCCAGGCTATAGTCTTTTCCTTTTCATTCTAAAGATACCCTTGTGTCCTGAAAGTAATTTTCACTTTTCTATCTAAGATAATCTAAAGTGGATTTCTATTATTTACAACCTAAAGAGTGCTGAGTAGAATACTGTATTTTGGCTGCTTGGGAAATATCTTCAAATACTATTGTGTTCTTACCTTCTTTGTTTTTCGGTACTGCAGCCCCCTCTCCAAGTGTCGGATATCTAGATATTCTGGATTTTGAGTGTTGAGATCAGTAACAATATCTGCCCATCTATAGTGAAAGAGAAAGAATAAAGCACACTTTTCTTTAAGTACAAAATACCATTGTAATGGAATGTTTTTAAAAGATGTTATTTATTTATTTATTAGAGAGAGAGAGCACACGAGTGGGGGGAGAGACAAGCAGACTCTGCGCTGAGCCCAATGCAGGGCTAGATCTCACAACCCCAAGATCACAGCCTGAGCTAAAATCAAGAGTTGGACGCTCAACCCACTGAGACACCCAGGCGCCCCTGTAATGGAACTTTTCACATGAGCAATTTGCTACAATATTACCATGACAATAATTCTCTTATATCAAGATTGTTCCACCTACTAAGCTTTAATTCTTTTTTTATGACATTTCTGTATAACCAACTATGGCCAACATTCTCAGTTTTAAAAGGGTTACTTTCACAAAGAAATACATATGTATCAACCTGTTACATGCCATCCTACAGGCTAGAGTAGAAACAGTCCATATTTCCTTTTTAATTAAAGTCAAGTTTTCAAAAGATTTAAAAGTTACGTGAGGGCGCCTGGGTGGCTCAGTCGATGGGGTGTTGACTCTTAGTTTCGGCTCAGGTCATGATCTCCTGGTTGGGAGACGGAGCCCCGCCTCCAGTTCCACATTCAGCTTAGTGGGGAGTCCCTCTCCCTCCACCCTTCCCTTCTACTCCCACACGCTCATGCTTTCTCTCTCTCTCTCTCCCTCCCTCTCTGAAATAAATCTTTTTTTTAAAAAAGTTAATGTGCATTTATTCACAGACAACATGATTGATTGTATAGAAAATCCAAAGCAATTACAAATTACTTTGGATTATAAAACTACTACTAAAATTAATGTGTTTGATAAAGATGCAGTATTCAAGGCCTATATATATAAATAAATTATATTTTATTTTTGTACACTACTAGAAAATAATTAGGAAGTGAAATTTTTTAAAGGAAAGTGCCAAAAGATGCAAACTTCCAGTTATAAGTACTAGGGATATGATGTACAACATGGTGACTGTAGCAAACACTGCTCTATGATATATAGGGAAGTTGGTAAGAGAGTAGATCCTAAGAGTTCTCGTCACAAGGAGGATTTTTGGTTAACTAAACCTATTGTGGTCATCATTTCACAATATATGTAAATCAAACCATCATGCTGTACACCGTAAACTTATATAATGATATGTGCCAGTTATTTCTCAATAAAACTAGAAAATAGACAAATTTTTTAAAACAAATTTTTTTAAAAACCAATTTACAATACCATTAAAACACTTCGGGATCTGTACAGCATGGTGACTATAGTTAATAACATTGTATTGTATACTTGAAATTTGCTGAAAGAGTAGATCTTAAGTGTTCTCACCACACACACACAAAAGGTATCTATGTGAGCTGATGGATATGTTAATTAACACTTGATTGTGGTAATCATTTCACAAAATATATGTCAAATCAGTACATGGTACACTTTAAATATATACAGTTGTATATGTGCATTATACCTCAATAAAGCTGGGAAAATAAAAAAAATTTAAGTAAAAAAAGGAATAACAATATCAAATATTGGTGAAGATATGAAGAACAACTGGACTCTCCATACAATGCTGGTGGGAGTGTAAAAAAATGGTACAAACCCACAGGAGAACATTCTCCCAGTTTCTTAAATACACATCCATCCTATGATCAGCAATTCCACTCCTAGGTATTTACCCAAGAGAAACAAAACATATAAACATGTCCTCAAAAAACTTGCACAAGAAAATGTGGCATATCCATACGGCAGAAAATTATTTGGCCATATAAAGGAATGTAATTTGGTCCATGCTACAACACACGTGAACGTTGAAAACATTATTCTAAGTGAAAAAAGAAAACAGACACAAAACGCCACAAGTTTTATGATTCCATTTATATGAAATGTCCATATTAGGCAAATGCACAGACAAAGAAAGTAGATCAGGGGCTGGGGGGACGGGGCTTGGGAGTGACTGCTAATTGGTATGAGGTTTCTTTTGGGGGTGATGAAAATGTCCTGGAATTAGGTCATGGGGACTGATGTTTAACTCTAAATACACTAAAATCCACTGAGCATTTTTTACATTTTTAAAGGGTGTACTTTATGGTATGTGAATTTTATTTCAATGAAGCCGTTACTCAAAATTTTTTTAAAGACATGTACATTAATGTTCCCAACAGCTTTACCCACAATAGACCACACTCAAAACAATCCAAATGGTCATCAACAGGAAAACAGATAACAAATTGTAGTATACTTACAGTACCTAATACCACTCGGCAATAAAAAAAGAAGCATGACATGCATGACAAAGTGGATGAATCTCACAAGGCCAGACAAGAAAGAATATTGTACGACTTCACTGACATGACTTTCAAGGACATGCAAAGCAATTCCACAGTGATAGAACAGAGACTGTCTCTGGGGACTAACAGGAAAAGAGAATGAGGGTACTTTCAATGCAATGAAAATCTTCCATATCTTGATTGGGGTGGTGATTACACAGGTGTATTCAGTTTCCAAAATCCACCTAATTATACAATCAAGATCTGTGCATTTCACTATGTGTAAATCTTACCTAAATTAAAGAGAAAAGGGGAAATTAACATACTTTTTACAGTGAATAGCAGGATGTTTTCTACTTGATTCTCCAATTAAGATCCAATATTCTACTTCTTGTGGTGAGAGGGGGCCCCTGCTAAATATAAAATACATTCATAGTAAGCTTAATAAAGGCCATTCACTCCTTTGAAAATATTGCCTCAACTATGTTAATAAAAGATATACTAAAGTTTATTCAAATATGACATTCATTAATGCTAGAATAGATACTGGAGTATAGGCTTGAACAAATTTCTTAAGGCCATTAAAGAGAAAGCATAAATCACACTTAGTTCTTAATCCCTATTATAGAATATAGGACTAAAAAAAAAATGAAATATACCACCTCTCTCAGCATCTAAAAAGAAGAAAAACATCCTAGCATGCTACCAGCATTCTCCAGCTAATCCTCTCCTTTCACTGTGCATTTAAAAAGTTTCAAAACGCATCCTAAAAATAAAACCCTAAAGTATACCGATGCCCTAATCCCACCTCTGGAAACTAATTCAAGTAAATCTTGAGTAGAGCGAGGGGAGGGATTAGCCCAGCTGTAAAGGCATCTCAGGCTATTGTTAGGTACAGGCGGGGGTAGAGAACTCTCCCCTAATGGGTACAAAGTAGGAGGACCTACTGTTTCACGTTTTATATTGGATAGATGTCTGGAGTAAGGTGAAGTTGCGGAATGAAACCACAGAAGAAACAACATACCTCACCTCCAGAGCAAAGAAGAAAACATTTCAGGATTTGGAGAGATCAAGTAGTTTCCCCCTTGCTCCTCATTCACAAAAATACAATGTCCAGCTTCCTGGTTCTCCCAGGTCTCAGGATCCTGTCCCAGGACCCCGCTACCCCACAGCACCTTGAGAGGGACTCACGCTGTATGGCCTCCAGCCTCAAAGAACCCATCCCACCCCCAGATGCCTGAGCCATGCTCTCCCTGCCTGACCCTCAGGTTTTACTGAAAGAGCAATTGCTACCCCTTCCTTCTCAAGTACCAAGGCCACTCACCCGGGACAAAGGGGGAACACTGATAAATTCCACATTTTTCACCATGAGAAAAGAAGATGCTGTTTAATGTACTCAGTTGGGACAATTTTTTGATATTAGACTCCATAATTCATTTTTCCATGTGGGACAGTGGATGAAAACACCATGACATAAGATGGGACGTCCTATGCAACCATTTTATAATAAACGTAAGAGTGATTTTTCAAACGTGTTTCCCTTCATGAGTCTGAACAACAGTATCTAAGTGGATAATGTAAAAGCACAACTAACCAAATGCAATTCTGCAAAAGAATTAGCTAAAATATTAAAGAATAGTCTAACTTGAAAAAAAATAACACACATTTTCTTGGTGAATTATCCACATAAAATATGTAAATGCTTACCTGAATGCTTTATTAGCTTTAACAGGGGTTGCTTCAAAGCCAATTGGACAAAAATAATGATTTTGGCAATGATAGATATAAGCCAGCGATTCATCTTTCAATCCATGAGTTAACTTCGACAAGGCCCCTGAAGCTACATAAAAGAAAAGCAAACAAACTGAGGGACCATAAAGCACTGTAGATGCTTTACACAAACAACTCGTTAAGGACTGAAAGACATTACTTGGAACGCACCAACACTGCTGAGGAAAAGTGAGAAACTACTGACAGATACAAAACTATTAATACATTTACTTTCAGTTTTACCCTTTTGACTGAAATTCAGATAAACTGAACCGCAAACTAAAGACCTGAACGGTGCCCTTGCTTATCAAAACCTTCTAGGGGCACCTGGGTGGCTCAGTCGTTAAGCGTCTGCCTTCAGCTCAGGTCATGATCCCAGGGTCCTGGGATGGAGCCCCGCATCGGGCTCCCCGCTCTGCAGGAAGCCTGCTTCTCCCTCTCCCACTCCTTCTCTCACTGTTTCTCTCTCTGTCAAATAAATAAATAAAATCTTAAAAAAAAAAAACACCTTCTAATAGCACATCCTCATCTACAAAATTTAATTACCACATAAAACCCAATACCTCGTGTAAAGAACAATGGTTTCAACTTTCCTAGTTGTGCACATCTGTCACTGGAAATTTCTCAATAGACATGCCCATTAGAAGCATTTTTGTTTACAGACTATATAGACTACTGTACTAATATGACTTTGTAAAAGATACACAAAAGGTAAGAATTTTTTAATTAAATTAAAATACTGGCATTCTAGTATGTTCTTCCCATTCCACAGCGGTCATCTTGCACAGCTCCGGTGATATGTACACTGATGCTGATGGGTAAATGTAAACTCCAGATAAGACACAAACCTCCAAAATGCAAACTTTTCCCCACAACACACACTTTAGTCTTTCTACAAAAGCTACCCAGACTAGAGGGACAGCTTTCATAAGCCAAGTGATAAGAACATCTCTCAGACAGGCTGGTCATACCACAGAATCCTCTTATAACCATTCTTCCTTTTATATTTCCTACAGCTCTATTAGTTGTGAAGTCATTTCAAAAGTCTTACCATAAGCAATAAGTTTTTAGCAGCACTCAATACTTAAAGCCATTAACTGAGGTTTCGTTAACTTGCATCTCCTGGAAGAAACTAAATTATTAATGAACAAATAGCCCGTTAAAACTGGAAATCCTAAAAATAGGTGAAGTCGATGAAAGGTGGCAATTTACGGTTTCCCTGATTGACTTTCTGGCCACTGACATAGCTGAAGACCTCTAAGAACAGCAGGTCAAAGCTAATGCAGCAGGACGCCACTGCACACCTGTAGACACAATTTGTGGGCTGCACGGGGACAATAACGTTTCTAGCTTCAATCCATTCTCCAAATTCATCTAGGTCTTTCCCATAGATTTCTACTTCATGGCCTACCACCAGGGCATATCTGCATGGCACAGTGAACTTTTCCACTAAAATTTCTATTTCAAAATGACAAGTGATAAATCTTTCTGCAGCTTTTGGTTGACTTCCCTTGGCAATTTAAAAACTAACATCCAGGGTACCTGGGTGGCTCAGTCGATTGGGTGTCTGCCTTCAGTTTGGGTTGTGATTCCGGGGTCCTGGGATCAAGTCCCGCATCAGGCTTCCTGCTCTGCGGGGAGCCTGCTTCTCCGTCTGCCTCTACCCCTCTCTCTCTCTTTCTGTCTCTCATGAATAAATAAAGAAAATCGTAAAAAAAAAACAAACTAACATCAAGGGCAGTTCTAATGAATGCTCAACAGAACTAAAATTCAGACGAGGGTCTTATGTCATTACCATAGTTGAACGTCATTATAGATAGGTTCCAGGATCATGAGCAAATGTAAATGTATGCATTTGGACTCCTAACAAATTCAATAATTACAAAAGATGGTTATACACATAACTGGTTTAGAAAAAACTCTTAAAATCTTTTTTGAAATTGTGAAAATGTCAAAAAGAAAGTTTTCCCAAATAACTAAAACTTTAAAAATAACTAAAACTTATAATAAAAGAGATTTTTATTATAGCTTTTTAATGGATATCTTTAAGTATTTCATATTTTCCTTCTTTAAAGTCAAATGTAATGCAAAACACCTGACTTCGTTAGTGTGACTGTGAAGAATGATGACTCTAATGTCCTGGACTATACTCAAGATTTCAGGAGCAAATGTGATAGGTAAGAAAATTTGCTCTCATTATCCTCATTATCCTTCACATCTTTTCGTCTGCTGCAAACACTCTTTGACCATGTCCTTTTTTCTAGAAGACATGAGGTGGGGGGGTTTTTCTATAGAGTAACAATTGTGGGCTTAGTGCTAGTCAGGGATGTTCCTGCTCCTTACTTCAAGGTTCTGGTTGATTCAGATTAGGGATTAGCAAACCTTTTCTTCAAGGGCCAGAGAGTAAATATTTGAGGTTTGTGGGTCATGAGCACTCTTCACACTCGTCACCTCTGCCTTTGTAGCATGAAGCAGCCATAGGCAATGTGTAAGCAAATGGTTATGACTGTGTTCCAATCAAACTTTGTTTACAAAAAGGACTGTAATTTGATGACCTCTAATCTAATAATAATTTTCAAACTTTTGTGGACATGGAACCCTTCTTTTTTTAAAAAAAAAAAGATTTTATTCATTTATTTGACACACAGAGACACAGCGAGAGAAGGAACACAAGCAGGGGGAGTGGGAGAGGGAGAAGCAGGCTTCCCAATGTGGGGCTCGATCCCAGGACCCTGGGATTATGACCTGAGCCGAAGGCAGACGCTTAACGACTGAGCCCCCCAGGCGCCCCCATGGAACCCTTCTGTAAGGAAAGTTGACATGGCAGGCTAGTGCATTTAAAGGCTAAAAGCAGAGTTGCCGTGGCCAAAAAGGAGGTAGGGAATCTGGATGCTCAGTCTTCTCCCCTCTCAGCACCAAAGTACTGCCATAGAATTCCCATGGCTCAACTGAGCGCAATTTGAAAATCACTGAATTTCCTATCAATGGAAGACCCAGCTCTTGATAGAAAGACTACAGCAATAGTTCTCAAGCTCGACACACAGGGCTTGTTAAACAACTGATTGCTGGTACCCACCCCCAGAGTGTGTGACCCAGTAGGTCTGGAGTGGGGACCAAGAACTTGCATGTCTAACAAGAACTTGCATGTCTAACAAGTTAGCAGGTGATGCTGCTATTGGTCCAAGGATCACATTCTGAGACTTGGTCTAGAGTTAATGGAAAATTCCATTTAACTCAATACAGTAAACAATTTGTGAGCACTACTAACTATACCAGGAACTGCAGGAAAACAAGAGGCAAGTAATGCATAGTACCTCGACCTGCCCTCCTAGGGAAGATAAAACAAGTATTATTACATTATTATTTACTATAGAGTGGAATAAGACAGTGCCACAGAAAAGGGATATAATTCAAAGGAGGAAGAGCACATCAGGTTTGAAGAATCAAGAAGGGTGCCATTCAAGACAGAACTTAATGAAGTGGTAGGATTTCAACAATCCAGACAGAGGAAAGGCCAGGAGGAGAAAACAAAATCATTGCAGGGGAGGGATGTAATCAGGGAACAGCAGGTGGTCTAGTTTAGAATACAAGGTATGACAGGGCGCCTGGGTGGCTCAGTTGGTTAAGCGACTGCCTTCGGCTCAGGTCATGATCCTGGAGTTCCGGGATCGAGTCCCACATCGGGCTCCCTGCTCGGCGGGGAGTCTGTTTCTCCCTCTGACCCTCCTCCCTCTCATGCTCTCTGTCTCTCGTTCTCTCTCTCTCAAATAAATAAATAAAATCTTTTAAAAAAAAGAATACAAGGTATGACAGCATAGCTAATCCTACCGTAGGGCACCCCCAGAATTTCAGGACAAGATCAGAAAAAGATCACCCTCTGAAATAAAAGACAGTAAATACAATATTTAATACATTAAGGTGGTCATCCAAGGAAATACTTCTAGGCAGGAGAAGACACAAAAATGTGTTACTGATAGAAATGAAATTCAGCATGATGTTCAGCCTAAACCAGAGTATTTCTAAAAAATCCAAAACCTACATGACAAAGCAACCACTTCCAACTCCAGGGCCTGATCTGTATGGCGCACAAGAAGGAGAAAAGAACTACTAGAACCAGCTGGACTGCTATACAGTGAGGAAGAACATACTTCCCGAGCGGCCAACGAGAGAATTCTGGTCCCTTTGGTTATATATTTCTCACTCTAAGTTAATATATAAACTTTCTGGTATTCTCTGAGTCTGTTTAGTGCAAGTTTGTTCTATAGAGCCTGATCATCTATAGGAAAACTATAGAGAACTCTGGAAGAATTCATCACAATTATTTTATACCTTCAAAGACAAGAACCAGATTCTTTAATCCAGAAACATAACATTATCCTGCAAGGTTCTTCCTCCCTTGACATCTTTTAAATGCAGCTGGTCCGTGGAGGACAGCAGTGGAAGGCCAGTCTGCATTGGCTTTGAACGATGCTAAGGATTTTATGCTTTAAACAAGCACTGGAGCACTCCTAAAGTAGATGGGTCTATTAACACCGCACGCTGAAAAGTGCCGTGGTGTCTAATAAGAATTGGGAGAAAGCAGCGGATGAGGAAAACAGAATATTAATGCCTAGTCCACCTGAGACGTGCTAAGGCACAGTGGTAAGCTCCTAACAGTGGCCACAGTGAGAGTATATATGAGTCACATCGGGAAAGGGTAGAGGTAGCTGTTCTCGGTTAAGCAAAACTAAGAAGTTATAATACATACCAGAATAAAAATGAAATACATGAACATTAGTATAATTGTTAAGCTAGCTGATTAAAAAAAATTAATCTAGGGGCACCAGAATCACTCAGTCAGTTAAGCATCTGCCTTTGGGTTAGGTCAGGATCCCAGGGTCCTGGGATTGAGCCCCATGTCTGGTTCCCTGGAGAGTCTGCTTGTCCCTCTCCCTTTGCCCCTCCCCCGCCCCCACTGGTGAACTCTCTCTCTCAGAGAAATAAATAAAATCTTTAAAAAAATAAAAAAAATTAGACTTTCCTGGCACAAATGTTGGTGGCTAAGTGAACCAACAGTTTTTTGTTTTTTTT